TTTTTCCCCCAGTAGTCTCTTTTTCCTGACTAGATGTAAAACCCTCCTCCTGTTTTTTTGGTTTTATTCTACTAGCTGTGACTTCTGGGAAACTTTTCTTTTTGATGGACTTTTCCTTTTTTTTTTTTTCATCAAGGCAGCAATGTATAAAAGAAATAGCATAAGCCTAGGAGCTGGAAAATACCAAGTCTTATTCAAGTTTTACTGCATCCTTGTGGTATAATCTTTGGAAAAATCACTTGTGCCTGCCTTTTGCGCACATGCACTCTCTCTGCAGTGGGGAGAATATTTTGATAGCTGCCTCCATAGAGGTGTTGGTAGTTCTGTTGCATTCTATAGCACGTGTGGGAAGAAAAGTGCTATATTCTCTGTTAAGTATTGCTCATCAAATAATTCCTACCTGTGGAAAGGTGAAATTAAGGAACAGCTGTGTGGTGTTTAACTGTTCTGTACAAAACTGAAGGTTGTTTTCACTCAGAGGGTCATTTCTACTTTGTATCACAACTGAACTTTCAGAACTTGCAGTCAGATACTTTTGACTTCGTTGTGAAGCAGTCTGGAACTCCACACAAATAGGTGGGATATCACTTTTCCATGTCCTGTGTGAAGAGCACAAATGAAAAATGTTTTCACTGCGGGAAGTGATAAGCTTGTGAAGACCATATTCCACACCAGGCATCCTGAAACGGGGCTGATGTCTGGAAGCAGCAGTTTGAGTCAAGGCCTAGAACATTCCTAAACTGCAGTCCGGTGAGAAGTTGCTGTTCTGTGTCTTTTTTAGGAAGCTATTACTGAGATAATAGTCCCAACTGTTTTTTAACTGGAAAAAAAATAAAAAGACAAACCTTTTCATGTTGAACTGATGCAGGAAAACAGTGAATTCTTTTAATTATTTCATTTTTCTTCATGCATCAACTTTTAAATGGTTGGTAGAACACAAGCTGCTCAACTTTTAAATGGTTGGTAGAACACAAGCTGCTCAGCTTTCTCCATTGCACACCAAGTGCTCCTTAAGGAACCAAGTGTAGTTTGTCAGTAAATGTGCACCATACTCAGAGACCTCTGAACGGGTCAAAACGTTCCACCTTGAGTTTGGGGGCTTGGTTTGGGGTATTTTTCCAGTTTGAATTAATAAAACACTGAGTCTCTTCATTGAGAGACAAGTTTGTAAATCTCTTGCATGCCAGTGGCCTTTAGAGCAGCTGCCCTGCTGGTCTAGGGAGAGGAGGAACAAGTCCCTGAGATGGGAGCTGGGAATCTGCATGGAGCCCTTTGATAAAGTCCTGAAACATCAGCTGGAGTCAGCCTGTGTTCTCAGAGCCCTCGCTGCTCCTCTGGCCTGCGCAGGGCAGCTCTCAGTTTTTACTCCATGGCTTGGTTCCAGGTCTGAGCTCCCTCCAGATCCCAAGCACTCCTAGGTATGTTTTTTCTGGAAAAGGTCCTATTTAGAGCAAATACTGTTGCCAAAAGTTTGTGTTGAAGCAGAGCCGTGGCAGTTTGGGGCTGGTTCTGGTGCTGAGCCTCTTCTGGATGCAGGGATGAGCAGTGTTTTCCATGGGCAGCTGGGGTGTGATCCTGTGGCTGGAAGGGGAGCGTGGGACAGGGCTGGGTCTGAGCCTCTTCAAACTTCTGCCTTCAGCCTCTTGCTTTCTCTTGGCTGCAGTTCAAGGGTTTCTGAGCAAGTGATTTTTAAATCCCTGAGATATTTCAGATCTTTGTGTGTGTTGTTACTGTGTCTGGGAAACTTGGACCTTCCTAGACATCCTCATTGAAAGCTGACCCAGAATCATGAGCGGTTGTCTTGTACCTGAGGCCAGCCTGCTCCTGAATTTTTCTCCTGTATTTTTGCTGTGTACAGGCTGTTTTCTAAGAACAATTCACCAGTGCAGCTTAGGGATTATGCTGTGGAGAGGGTTCTAAAAGTCACTTAACCCCTGTTTTCTTCCCCAGATCCTCTTTTGTGCGCAGCAATCTCTGAATCATCAGGCAGAGTAGTTGGAAGAGGATTGTTAGCTTTTGTTACTTAACCAGGCAATGTATCCTGCTGGGACTTACCTCTCAGAGAACCTCATGTCCTTAAAATTGTGTCTTCTCAAAATGTCCCACCAACCTTAAGTTTTTAGGAAGATTTGGTTGTTCCAGGTCTTTGGAGAAAGGATCGAGCTTCCCTTTCTCCCACATGGCATTTGAGTAGAGAGAAGTTACTGAAGAGGCTCTAACAGCAGATAAATACTGCAAAGATGATAAAATACTGAAAAAAGTTCTTAAAATTCATATGATTAAGAACAAAGAGGGAAAAATCTTTGTGGTCCAGCAGAGCAAGATGCAGAACTCATTGGTTGGAAGAATCTTGATATTCCTCTGTGAGGCTGCAGTCACATCCTGGGAAATCCAGACCATCCTTCTTGCTGATGTGAAACTGTTCTTGGGTGAAGTTCACTGCAAAGTATTGACATGGATGCTTGAGCTGGAGCTGAGGTTTGTGACTGTGTGAAGGAGGCTGGTTTAGTTTCTAAAATCCGGGCACCTGTTTCTCCAGTTTCCCATCTGCACCGAGCACGGATGGGACTGAAAGGTTTCCCTTCACCTGAGCTGGCAGCAGTGAACGTGCAGGGATGTGTGGGAAGGTGCAGGTGTCCCTCACTGATGGACCAGAACATCTGCAGAGCAAGGAGGAAACGAGCCCAAACAACAGAACTTAGAGGACAATTTCCTTATTTAAATCTGGCCTTCAATGTATTTGTGATTATTGTCTGCAGCTGTGCTGGAAGCTCCCTTCTAATGGCGTTTTTCCTGACATGACAGAATTTGTTCAAGTGCATCTGAGCCCTCCGCTGGTCTCGCACTGCTCTTGGCTGTTGTGGAGTCAGTGGCACAACTTCAGGGAAGGAGCTTTTGACTTTGACAGAAATAAGGGAGCTTTGGGAACATTCCCTTCTTTTTGTCAGCACACCTCTCAGTCGTGGAGAGGGCCAGTTGCTTAAACTGCAACATTTTCCTGTTGGCCAATCCATTTTTGCAGAGGGAGGGAGGTGGGGAAGGTCCTTCAGGGGTGTGTTTTTGGTGTGATGTGGCAGCGTGTGATGAGAAACTTCTTTTTCTAGACTTCATCTAAGGGCAGAGGTGCTATTCTATGAACCACTTTCAGAGCCTTTTCGAGTAGAATGGTATCAAATGAAATTCATGGCTCTCTGGATCCAGCCTTAAGGGAGGGAAGGAAATCTGTTCTCCAAAATCCACTTCCTAAAAGCCACTTAGAGTAGCACATAGGACTGACTTAGGAAAACTAGAGCTTAACTTGGCATTTGGTTCTGAATTTAGCCTTTTTTGCTCTCGCTGCAGTTTTATTAAAAGCAAGATTCTCTTCCCCTCTTTAATACTCACAGAAGAGTCAGAGGGGTGTAACTGGCTCGGTTCCAGCCCTGCTGGCCCATTCCTACCCAAGGGAGGCTCAAGAGGACACCTGGAATTTTGGTCTCAAGCTAAATTTTAGGAAATACCCATTAGACTTTTATGAAATTAAAATGTACTTCCTCTTTTGAAGCTCTTGGATTTTAGAATGAATTTTAGTAATGCTTCTAGCACATAAGTGTTGAGAATTTTTAGTTTGTTGTCGGGTTTAAATTTTCTGATGGCCTTAAACAAACCTGTATATATGTCTTTGCAGTTCTTTAACTCAGCGTTGGAAACAAATTGGTCCATGGCTTATGTAAACACTTGACAAATAAATCTATTTAAATGTTTTATGTCCCTCCCTTTTAAGCAAATATTTCGTACCTAAAGGGATTGTCTTGCTACACTTCTGTTTCGTTGGTGGTTTTGTCTCAGTGACTGGGTTTAACTGGGTTCACCTAAAGAAAAAATTGTTCTACAGCCTTTATGATTATTAATTCAGTATTTTTATCATATTTTTGTTACATTTTGAAACAACCCCGAATACATCCACTGGTATTAAACACATTTTTCCTACGCTGTCACCTGGTTTTAAATACTTTATTGTTTGAATGTTCAAGTTAAAAACAAAACAAAAAAAGCAGTATTAAAAGCTAAGAATAAATCTATCTATGCAAATAGCTGGGCTCAACTTTGGTAATAAATGAAATAAATAAAATTCCGTGTGCTGAAACCTCGCTGGGATTTCAGCTCCGGTTGAGAAATCATTTTCTTGTTGCTGCTCCGTAGCTGTGCAGCTTGGGATTTTATAGGGAAAACTTTCAAAGAGCTCTGCTGGATTTATGAAGAAGCAGAGTTAAACGTCAGCAGCTCCCTCCTCTTCCTGAGGAGCCGGATTCCTGATATTCCTGATATTCCATGGGGGGGGTCGCCGAGTGTCCTGTAACAATGAATCCTGAAGATGTGCTCTTTCCTGGGTGCGTTCTGCTTGCTCGTGTTTCCTTGGGAAAACTGCCTCCAGATGCCCTTTTATATAGATATATATAGATATATATAGATATACACACATATATATGTATGTATATTTGGGTTTTGGGTTTGTCATCTGTCCCCCAGGAGCAAAGGCCGCCCAGACTCAGCGTTGGCAGGTGTGGAAATGGAGTTCTCTCTATAAAATAATTTAAATTTATAAAACCTGCTCTTTGTGCCCACACGCGCCTGCAGGGGTCACAGGCAGGATTTGTTTAGAATAAATCGCCAAAAAAAGGAAAGGAGAAAGGAAAGGAGAGCTGTGTGCGGTAGGGGCTGCTCTGTGTCTCGCAGGGATTTTGGGAGCCGGCTGGGCGCAGGAGTCCTTTCCCACGTGAAGGCTACAGCCGGTCACTGGGAAGCACAGGAAGCACTGGGAAGCTGGGAAGCACAGGACACGGGGCACAGGGAGTGTGGGCTCGCGGGCGGTTTTACACAAATGCGGATTTACAAACACACCTGCGGACGCGTCCCGCAGGCGGCCGGCAAGGGCAGCCCCGGGGTCCTCCCGCGCTGCGCGGCGCCCGCGCCCGGCCCCACGTGGCTCCCACGTGGTGCAGCGGGAGCGGGGCCGGGGAGGAGCGCAAGGAAGAGCGCCGGGAGCCGGGGGAAGAGCTGCGGGAAGAGACCCGGGAGCGGGTGGAAGAGCCGCGGGAGGAGACCCGGGAGCCGGGGGAGGAGCGGGGGAAGAGCGCCGGGAGCCGGTGGAAGAGCCGCGGGAAGAGCTCCGGGAGCTGAGGGAAGAGCCGTGGGAAGAGCGCCAGGAGCCTCCCCGGGAAGAGCCCGGGAGCCGCGCTAAGAGCTCCGGGGAGAGCCGCGGGAAGAGCTCCGGGAGCCTCCCCGGGAAGAGCCGCGGGAAGAGCTCCGGGAGCCGGTGGAAGAGCCCCAGGAGCCGCGGGAAGGGCCCCGGGAGCCTCCCCGGGAAGAGCTCCGGGAGCCGGGGGAAGAGCCCCGGGAAGAGCCGCGGCCATGCAGCGCCGCAAGGTGGACAACCGCATCCGCGTGCTGATCGAGAACGGCGTGGCGCAGCGGCGGCGCAGCCTGTTCGTGGTGGTGGGCGACCGCGGCAAGGACCAGGTAGGGCTCCCCCGCAGGAACCGCTCCGCTCCGGGAATGAAACCTGCCAGCCCCAGGCACAGCAGGGGAGGGAGCTCGGGGGACAGAGGGGCTGGAAATGGCGTGTGAGACCTCCATGGGATATCTCCTGTCTGGGAAGGTCGTGAACGTCACATGGAACGCAGGGCAGGCTGCGGGTTGTGGGTTTGGTTTGGTTTGGTTTTAAACCGGGGTAAAGGATATTAAAGTTTCTGGCCAGCTGGAGGTTTTTTCCCCTCGGTTCTGCCCTGTAATGGTTTCTCTCTCGGAGTGAGGCTTTTGTCTCGCAGATGAAGCTGCTGGGCGAGGTTGTCTGGAGGAAATTCAGTGCTAAACTCGTTTTTCTTCAGGGACCCTGGCGTTATGTTTTTCGAGTGGGGAGGGGAAGAACAGCACGGCAAACCCACGACGGTTTAGGACAAATCCATTCACAAAATCACAGAGTTGTTCAGGCTGGAAAAGCTTCCCAGATCACTGAGTCCAGCAGGGCTAAAGCAGCCACTAACCCATGTCCCCAAGTGCCACATCTGCCTGGCTTTTAAATCCCTGCAGGGATGGGGACTTGACAGCCCGCTCAAGGAAGAAATTTTGCCTTAAAACCAACCTAAACCTCCCCTGGCACAGCCTGAGGCCATTTCCTCTCCCCTTGTTCCTGGGAGCAGAGCCCGAGCTGGCTGAGCTGGCTGCCCCTTCCCATCAGGGATCTGTGGAGAGGAATAAGGTCCCCCCTGGGCCCCCTTTTCTCCAGGCTGAGCCCCTTTCCAGCTCCCTCAGCCCCTCCTGGTGCTCCAGCCCCTTCCCCAGCTCCATTCCCTTCCCTGGACATGCTCCAGCCCCTCAGTGTCTTTCTTGCAGTGAGGAGCCCAAAACTGAGCCCAGGAATTTGCCCTCCCCTGTGCTGAGCAGAGGGGAACAATCCCTGCCCTGCTCCTGCTGCTGTTCTGTTCTAACTGCTGGGTAATTAATTTATCTCCAGTCTGTGGGCAAATAAAATAAACTAATTATTTAAAAAAAAAAAAAAAACCAAACCACCAAAAAACCACCAAAAACTTGGAAAATAATGAGTTATTTGAGTTATTCAGGTTGCAGTGGAATGCTGGCATTATTTGCTGCTGGGTTCTGGCATCTCCCAGGTCTGGTTGTGTTCACTGAAACCCTCTGTGGAAAATCCATGTGAATGGGTTATCCATAAGAGACAAAACTGTGTTTAGCCTGGAATTATCAGTGTTGGTCTGGCAGAGAAGGGAGCTAAGGAAACAGGAGGTGAAACCCAGCGTCCTGGAGCAGGCACAGCCTCACTTTGTGCCAAGGGGCCCCTCTGCCCTCCACGGTGGAAACACAGCTGTGAAATGGAGTGTAGCAGAGCACTTGGCTGTGTGGTGTTCCCTGAGAGCTGTTTGTGAGTGCTGTGTGCCCTGGCAGGTCGTCATCCTTCACCACATGCTGTCCAAGGCCACGGTGAAGGCCAGGCCCTCTGTGCTGTGGTGCTACAAGAAGGAGCTGGGCTTCAGCAGGTGAGAGAGCCCCGCGTGTCCCTGGGGGCTGGGGGGCGTGGGAGGGGAAGCCAGGGCTGTTCCTGGGGCAGCTGGGGGAAATCTGCTCTTCCAGGACTGAAATTTGGCTTCCAAAACAGAGCTGGCACCGGCAGAAAGTACCTCTGGTTTTTCTCCTGTGGCTCTAACACTGGCTCTGTGCCCTGGGCCAAACCCCCCTCACCTTTTTAACCCCAAAACTTGGGTTCCTCAGCTGTTTAACCTCAGTCACGTTCAGGACTGAGCTCTGACTTCCAGGCTCAGCCTGAGCACACTTTCCTCAGACCCTTTCCCAAGAAAACCCCTGTATGTTCTTTTCCCCTCCAGCCACAGGAAGAAGAGGATGAGGCAGCTCCAGAAGAAGATCAAGAGTGGAACTCTGAACATCAAGGATGATGATCCCTTCGAGCTGTTCATAGCAGCCACAAACATCCGCTACTGCTACTACAACGAAACTCACAAGATCCTCGGGAACACCTTTGGGATGTGTGTCCTTCAGGTCAGGAGCTCCTTGCCTCCCAAAAGGGCTGTGCAGTAATCAGTTGAAATGCTGCAGGAGTGGGGTTTGTTGCTTCTGTCACTTCAGTTTTGGTGGCTTTGCTTGTCCCTCGCGAGTTGTGTGAGGTGGCCTCGTTGGTAGGAGTTGGAGCAGGGCATTGCTTAGTGCAAATTTAAGTGGGAATGAAACCCTGAGGAGTAAAGTATTTAGGCTTTCTGTGCCTTCCAGTAGGAGCCAGCTGCACTGCTGGGCTTTGGGCAACTCTGAAGTTCTTTTTACTGCCCAGGATTTTGAAGCCTTGACTCCAAACCTGTTGGCCAGAACTGTGGAGACAGTGGAAGGTGGTGGAATTGTGGTGATTCTGCTGAGAACTATGAACTCCCTGAAGCAGCTCTACACAATGACCATGGTATGTGCAGCACTGTGGGTCTGTTCTCTACCAGCAGCTGCATTGAGGTGATGCTGGCTGGGTATTTATTCATGCTGTTACGTTGTTTATGTTATTTGTTATATTCTATTATGTTATTATTGATTCTCTTATCTTCCTTCCATCACCTTTCCTGCTCCTTCACTCAGGAGTGGGAGGAGATGGGGTGGGATTTGTTACACTCGGGCATTTCTGAAATGCTGCAGATGTGGGTGCTTCACCACAAAGTCAGGATCCTGTCTGGGATGTGCTGTGGATGGAAGTGGAGAGACAAGAGTGGGAAAGAAGGAGTCATAATCCTGTAAATGTCACTGTCACATTTTCTTTCTGGTTTTTCCCCTTTTCCCTTCAGGACGTTCACTCCCGGTACAGGACAGAGGCCCACCAGGATGTGGTGGGGAGGTTCAACGAGAGGTGAGTGGCTCAGAGTGCAAAGGAGCTGGGCTGTCAGCCCCAGGAAAGCACCAGGAGCAGCACTGGCTATTCCTGATGGGAAAACTTCCCATGGGTCTGCATTGGATCAGGCCTTTTTTGGAAGCTGGACCTGCAGCTCAGCTGTGAATGCTCTGTGTTCAGATGAACCACCAGGGAGTGCTGCTGCTGTTTTTACCGAGTTTTCTCTGCCTGCCCAGGTTCATTCTGTCCCTGGCCTCGTGCAAGACCTGCCTGGTGATTGATGACCAGCTGAACATCCTGCCCATCTCCAGCCACGCTGCCAGCATCACTCCTGTGCCCCCCCAGTCCCAGGTCAGTGAGTGACCCCAGCCCTTTTCCCTGCCACAAATCCCTCCAAGTTGGCCACAGGGTGTTAAAGATTTTAAAACAGGGATTTTTTTTTTTATTTCACCCTGATTTATGTCAAAGGATGGTATTGGAGAGAGGAAGCAGAACATTCTGCAAAAATTATGTGGGTGAAGCTTGGGGAGCTGTTTGTTCTATATTCTGCTTATTTTTAAAAAATTTTCTGTCCTATCTCTTTTTGTGCTTGCCCATATTTATTAATTTTCCTGTACTGCTGCTCAGCCCAGTGAGGTGGAGCTTGATTGTGGTTGCATGGAGGGATTTCAAGCTGGTGGACAGGGGACAAGACCAATAAAAATACTTTTTTGGCAGTTGGAGGGTGGGAGAGCACTTTGGAAGTAAGTGTATTGCAGGCTCAGGACACAGCTGGAAGCTGTGGCAGTTCTTTCAATTTCTGAGTTACACCTGTCACATTCCAGGAAGAATTCCCTGGGGATAATCCAGACACATCTTTGCACTGTTAGAAATGTATCCTTTTGTCACTTCCAGTTGTAGACTGCAGTAAAGTGGAACCAGTTTTAAACAGAAATCTTGAATCATTTAAGCTGTGCTGTGTGGCCTAAGAAATAACCAACACAGGTTCTGTCAGAGCTGTGAAAACATTCTAATAGGGCACTGATTAAAAAATAAATAAGTAAAACAACCTCCTTTTGTCATTAGTCCAACACTGACAGCAGCACTAATGCTCTTCTGTTGGCTGGAGAGGCTGGTGCCTTTGGAATTTTAAGTGACAACCAGGAAATTCAGCCTTCATTTCCATCTAAAACTGGTTGTGTCCAAGTCTGTTGTTTGGCCCTGAAGGTCTTGATGTTATTTTGGTATTGGTGCTGCAGTAGTTCTTCCCCCTGCATGGACACTTCATGTGACAGGTGTAACAAAGATCATGAACGTCCAAAGACTGAAAAGGGAATTAAATTATTCCAAACACTCTTCTTTAATCTGTTTTTGCTATCAATGCCATTCTGTAATTACTATGTACTGCAAAATCCTTCCCTGTTTTCCCTTCCAAGCCTGGGGAAGTCAGGATTGGGAACCTCTTTGTGACCATTCTCCTGAAGATGCCTGGAAGTTTTAAGTGTTAAATACATGTCTGTCTGTATAAATTCTCATGGTTTTGGGGAATGTGTTCTTCTTGTGGTAACTTTTCCTTCCAGATTCCTTTCTCTGCCTGACCAAAGGTGTCAGAAGACACCACAAAGGTAGAATTGTGCTGAATGTCCTTGGCTCATCCTGTTTGTGTGCCCGCAGGAGGAGAGCCTGGGGCCCCAGGACTTGGAGCTGAGGGAGCTGAAGGAGAGCCTGCAGGACACACAGCCTGTGGGAGTGCTGGTGGATGGCTGCAAAACCCTGGATCAGGTTGGTGTGATGCCTCAGGTTGAGCTTTTATATTTTTCAGGTGCTTTACAACTTTAGTGTGTAGTTCTGAGCTTCATAATAAGGGATAGTAAGCTCTCTTCACAGAGTAGGGAGACAAAACAAGGTAGGTAGACCAAGGACAAATTATCCAAATTTCAGGCCCAAGATCATAAGCAATGGCAGAATGAAGAGAGAAAAACAAGAAGGATGGGACTTCATAACCTGAAGCTGTAATTGGACATTAACTCCAATATGCAAATGGAGCAGAACTGATCAAAGTGAGAGACCTTGTGACCAGTTGTCCATTTTGTGACCATTTTGGTTCATCTTGGGTGCAGCCCTGGCTGGGCTCTTGTGCTGCCCAAGGTGGATCCATGGAGGCCTTTAATAAATCCCTGCTTTATTCTTTAACTCTGTCCAGCCTCTGTTCTAGGTCAGCCTTCTCAAGGCATCAGGTGTGCTGGCCAGAGCTGAGCTTCTCTGGGTGTGAGAGAAACTCTGTTTTTCTGGGGGCTTTCTAATCCTCAGGCAAAGGCAGTTCTAAAATTCATTGAAGCCATTTCTGAGAAGACCCTGAGGAGCACTGTGGCATTAACAGCAGCCAGGGGACGAGGGAAATCTGCTGCTTTGGGGCTGGCCATTGCTGGAGCAGTAGCTTTTGGGTGAGTGATCCCCCCACAATCCCCCAGGCCTTCTCTGCATTCCCGAGTTTAAAAAAAAAACACAAACAAAACCAAGATGACAGGATCTGAATATATTTGTAATTTCCAGTCTTAAATTCCTCATTTTTAATCTTGAATCTTTTGATACAAGATCATATCTTGACAAGATTGTATCTTTCAGTCAAATTTGTCTTAAAACTCAAAATAATCACACATAAATCAAGATTAATTAGTGTCTATAGGAATCTGCTGTGTTTTGGTCATTAGGTGAAGTCAACCCCTCCTATTAAAAGCCCATCCTGTCTGGTACTTACATGGTAAAATCTGTTAGAAAAATTGTTCAGCTCTTGTTTTGTGTTTTTCTCTGCAGTTACTCCAATATCTTTGTCACATCTCCCAGCCCTGACAACCTTCACACTCTCTTTGAGTTCATATTTAAAGGCTTTGATGCACTGCAGTATCAGGTGAGGGGAGCAGACTATTTTACAATATTTTCAAAGCATTCCTGCTTAGGAGTTTTACACCTCATCTGTGCTTTTGGCTATATATGTTTGCTACCAGCCTTTTTTACCATGTTCTGCAAGAAAAGGAATCATGGTAGAGCTGTGTTTCCTTCTCTGTTTTTAAGCAGGGTAAACCAGTTTCTTTGTGAAGCAGATTTTAACATCAGCAAATAATTTCCCAGTTCTCAGGCCTTCAAAGCTTTTATAAGAATTTTTGATTAGAGTGTGAAATAACAGTGTCTGAGCTTATTTTGATGATGGTAAATTATTTTTTTCTTAGATATTGGCTTTTTATATTGTTTTAAAATGTTATTTTCCAGGAGCACCTGGACTATGAGATTGTTCAGTCCTTAAATCCAGAGTTCAACAAGGCAGTGGTCAGAGTGAATGTGTTCAAGGAGCACAGGCAGACTATCCAGGTAATTGGCATTTTTACCTTTCCAGGTTTGTTCCTGGCTGTGGTTCTTGCCAGTGTTGAAGTTGTTTTGATTTTAAGCGTGTTCATTCTGTGTGATGTGGAGCTGTCCTGGTGGGTTTTGCTGTAAGGCAGATCTTCAGGGAGTAACTTCCTCAAAATACCTTCTCTCTTTCAGGGAATAACTTGTAGATTACAAAGCTCCCTCGTGGGATTCTCCCAAAGCAAAAGCAAAGGAAGGTGGAAGGAGTGATGCCTTAAGTTTTAGCTTTCAAATTTTTCAGATTCTGTGCTGCCTTAGTGTGTAACTCTGAGTTTCATATTAAGTGTTAGTGAGGTCTCTTCACAGGGTAGGCAGACAAAACAATTCCTTTTCCAGCTTGAGAACCATGGACAGCCATTACAGCCTCAGGCCCAAAAAGCATAAATAACAGGGAACTGAAGAGGGAATTCTGGGAGGATGGGACTTCTTAACCTGAAGCTGTGGTTGCACAATTAACTCCAGTATGCAAGTGGAGCAGAACTGATCAAAGTGAGAGACCTCGTGACCAGTTGTCCATTTTGGGACCATTTTGGGTGCAGCCCTGGCTGGGCTCTTGTACTGCCCAGGGTGGATCCATGGAGGCCTTTAATAAATCCCTGCTTTATTCTTTAACTCTGTCCAGCCTCTGTTCTAGGCCAGCCTTCTCAAGGCATCAGGAGCAGTGCAGGAAGAGCTTTTAGTGATTAGGTTTCCTTCATTTTCCTCACCTCTGCAGATGAATTGCTGTGGATTTGTGCCAAACGAGATGTGTGAGCCAGTCCTTGTTAGGGCAACATGAACCCTCTCCTGACTTTCTGCTTTTCCACATCTCAGTCTCTGCCTTGGTATTTGAGGAGAGCAGGGACAGCAAAGAGCTTCCCAGGGCCCCAGCTTTGTGAACCCTGGTGTTTCCCTGGTGGCAGCTGCTGCAGTGACAGTGTCCCCTCCTTTGCAGTACATCCACCCTGCCGATTCTGTGAAGCTGGGCCAGGCCGAGCTCGTGGTGATCGACGAAGCTGCTGCCATTCCTCTGCCCCTGGTGAAGAACCTGCTGGGCCCTTACCTGGTGTTCATGGCTTCCACCATCAATGGGTAAGGCTGGAGCAGGCACTCTGGATGGCTGCCTGGTTCCTGTGGTTCCTGGTTCAGGCTCTCTGTGTGCTGTTCCCAGGTACGAGGGCACCGGGCGGTCGCTGTCCCTGAAGCTCATCCAGCAGCTCCGCCAGCAGAGCGCCCAGAGCCAGGTGACCCTGACAGCAGAGAACAAATCCACAGCCACCGCCAAGCTCACCTCAGGTACAGCACCTGTGGGCTGTGTCCCACGCAGCCTGGGTGTGTCCTGGGGCTGCTGTCCGCCTGATCCATGGCTGTCCCACCCATCCGTGTGCTTTGCAGCCGTGGGAAGGGGTTTGTGTGGGAAAATGACAGAACTCTGCTGCTTTCCCTCACAAGTTTCAGATGGAAGGCTTTTAAGAGGTGAAAAATCAGCGTGTGACAGTTTTCTAATCTGGGAGCCCTTGGGAGCACGGGGATCCTGTGGGGTGCTTGTCTGGCTGTGGCTTCCAGCACTGAGTGTCCTTTGCTACCCTTGCAGCTCGCACGTTGCACGAGGTGTCCCTGCACGAGTCCATCAGGTACGCGCCTGGGGACCCCGTGGAGAAGTGGCTGAATGACCTCCTGTGCTTGGACTGCCTCAACATCACCAGGATCATCTCTGGCTGCCCTCTGCCAGACACCTGTGACCTGTATCCTTCCTGGAAGGTTCTCAGCCTGGCTGATGGTTGGGATAAGCTCAGCACACAGTCTTTTCCTTAAGACCTTGCTCCTGGAGTTGAGCTCTCGTGGCGCTGGTGCTGGGTGCTGCCAGGACACCACCAAAGCCCAGTTTTGCTGCAGAGACAACCTCAAGGAAGGGTTGCATGAGGGGAAGCCCTTGCTGGAGTTACAAAAGGTTTATCTTTACAGGTGAAGGGTGCGAAAGCTGCAAGCACTGCCCAGCATCAATTATTCTTGTAGGTGTAAGCTGTGGAGTCTAAGAAGACAAGCCAGCTTGTGGCCCAAATATTGAAAATTAACCAACAGGAAGCTTTTTCCTAGTTCCCAAGGAGGTTTTTTTCCTTAATCCCTGTGTTTAGATACTATGTGAATAGAGACACACTCTTTTGTTACCACAGAGCGTCAGAAGTTTTCTTGCAGAGGCTGATGGCCCTCTATGTGGCTTCACACTACAAGGTAGGGCTTGGGCTTCTTCCATCCAGTTTCATTCCCAATTTCAGTGTGGAATTTTCTGGGGACAGAAGTGCTTGTTATGATAACCTGATTGAGATTTCTCTACAGCTTCTGGTGCTTCTTGTTGTGTACAGAGCTGTGTTCTCCTTTCTCTGAGATCTCTGCCTCAGTCCTGAGTACATACTGGATTTCCAGATAGTCTGGAATATTTTTGCCTTGAGAAGATGTGGAGACTAAAATTCTAAATGAGCCTCCAAGCTTGTCAGGATTTTATCAGTGCTGAACCTCATTTGTAGTTCTCTTTACCATGTTCTGGTGGCCTCAGGTTCATCAGGAACAGCACCATTATGAGACTGAAAAGAGGAATAATTCATCTCAAGGTTTCAAGACCAGGGGTGATCTGTAAATGTGAGTGGGGAAGTCCAGAAGCGCTGAACTACTGAGTTCTAAAAATCTGAGGCTTAAAAAAAATTTAGGATTTGGTACTTAGGAGATAAGGACCTGTATGAAAATAGGAAATTCAAGTTCATACATATTAGAGCACAAGGTTTCCCTTGAGAGCAGATACTGTCTGAGGGTGTGACAGCCATGAGCTGGCCTGGGAGCTCCTCCATCCATCAGCATTGTATGAGTTCCAAATTTCTTAATAGCTCTAAATTTGGAAAATAGAGGGATTGTTTCCAGAAATCAGCTGGATTTTGAAGCTCTCCTCATGGAATAACCATTTGGGTAACACTCTCAGGTATTTTTGGGGTTGTCCTGTGCAGGGCCAGGAGCTGGACTCAGTCCTGGTGGGTCCCTTCCATCTCAGGGTATTCTGTGATTCTCTGAACAGTTTTTGACCTTTCTGATGTCTTCACCCTCCAGAACTCCCCCAATGACCTCCAGATGCTCTCTGATGCCCCTGCCCATCATCTCTTCTGCCTTTTGCCTCCTGTTCCACCCACCCAGAATTCGTTACCAGAAGTCCTGGCTGTTGTTCAGGTAAGAGAATGACTCGAGTGTCAGTTTTGATCCTGGTCTAGTTGAGCAGGAGGAAGCATGTTGTGTGTCTGTGTGTGTGTTCATGGTTTTGTGTCTTTCCTGGCAGGTGTGCATGGAGGGAGAGATCTCCCGCCAGTCCATCATGAACAGCCTCTCCAGGGGAAAGAAAGCCTCTGGTGATCTTATTCCCTGGACCATTTCAGAGCAGGTGGGTGATTTGGCTGTGCACTGGCACCCAGGGTGTATTTCATATATTTCTTGTTTCCAGAGTGCCCAGCTGTGTCCTTTAAATGGGCTTTTTTTGTCCCTTGTGCAGTTCCAGGATCCGGATTTTGGGGGCCTCTCCGGCGGGCGCGTCGTTCGCATCGCGGTTCACCCGGATTACCAGGGGGTAAAGTACCTGTCCCCCAGCTGGGCTGGGCCAGGGGAAATGGCTCTCCAGGCACAGCTCAGCAACAGGGCAAACACTGCACTGCCTCCAGTTCTTAGCATTTTAAGCTCAGGGCACCAAACCAGTGCTCCCTTGGCAGCATGGGAGCATCCCGAGCCACCGTGCACATCCAGGGATATTTACTGTGATGTTACCAAGTGTTTGGCATTTTCTCAGTGCCAGAGTTAAGCCCCAAAAATTACTACACAGCCCTGAACTATCACGGCTGATGCTGATTTTTTATGTACTGTCCTTCTCCCTGGAGCTGCCACGTGGCCAAAAAAAAAAAGTATTTTTCTTTTCCACTTCTGAGGTGGACATCATTGCAAATCTTCAAACTGGGAACAAAACTAGAACTTACCTACATTTGATTCCAGAAAAAGAAAAAAATCTATTAGAATTGTTCAATTTTACTTAATATGTTTTACTTCCAAGAAAAACAGATATATAACAGTCTCCTATCTAAAAACAAAACCAAAAAACCTTAAAAAAATTTAAAATATGATTAAATGTATTTAAAACCCACTGCAGACATCACTCATTTTTGCAGTGACTGAGTGATGTCTGCAGTTTGTTAATGGGTTTTAAGGGGAGAACGTTGTTGCCTTAGATTAAAAATCAGAGACCTCGTTTTGCTTACCGTGTGTTGTTGCTTCTTCACAGATGGGCTATGGCAGCAGAGCTCTGACTTTGCTGCAGATGTACTATGAAGGCAAATTCCCATGTTTGGAAGAAGAAACAGTTCAAAAACCTAAAGAAATCACAACTGTGAGCAGTGAGGTATGTTTTTTTTTTTTTTTTTTAATTTTCTGTCATGCTAAGCTTCATAATTTCCCCTGTAAGTCTCCACTCTGTAGGGAGGAAATACTCAGATTTGATTTTCATAGAGAAGAAGAGCTTTAATTTGCAGCTTTCTGTGGGGAATGCTGCTAACCCATTCCCACTTTCTTTTCCAGACTGTTGGTTTATTAGAAGAGGTTGTGACACCCCGGAAAGATTTGCCTCCTTTGCTGCTCAAACTGAGTGAGAGACAAGCTGAGCACCTGGACTATCTCGGGGTGTCTTACGGCCTGACACCCAGATTGCTCAAGTAGGACATGATTCTATTTCCCACTTACATCTTGCCCTTCTTAAGCAGATAATGAGCTTTACTTGCCCAATTTTTCCAGGCTGTAGAAGTAAGAACAGCCTGTGATAGGTAGGGAGTGGTTAAATTCTCATCCCTGTGACCTGTAGAAACTTGGGGTGCTGCTGACTTCAGGGCTGGTGTTTTTTTTTCCTGACTGGTGTAAATGCCTTTCACAGCACCTTGAAAGTTTGTGCATTTTTTGACATTACAGTCAGTCAGACCCTCAGTCAGGTGGGTGCTGTTCCTGCTTTCTGACAGAAAGCTCATTTGCTCTGATTGTTGGAGTGTCTTAGAGACTTTTGCTTGCTCCTCACTAGCTGTCCTTGTACAGTGGATAAATTGCTTTTAACCACAATTTATTACTTATTTAGCTCCATAATTCTCAGTGTGTTCCCTCTTTTTCCCAGGTTTTGGAAGCGTGCTGGGTTTGTGCCTGTTTATCTGAGGCAGACCCCTGTAAGTACCACACTGTTCCTGAGTGAAAATCCAGCCCTGCTGAAATCCCTGGGCATGCATTCCAGTAGATTCTGGGAGGAGGAGTTTGGGACAGGAAGGTTTGCTGAGGCTGCTTTTAAGGCTTGCTTTATGTTCATTTTTGTTCTTTGGGCCTATAGTTGAGGAATAGAGTTCTAGGGTTGAGAATGTGGGCCTCCAAGTGGTTTGCACATAAAAATTTAGAGCTGTTGAGGGCTATTAATGCAGTTATTGGTGAAATAGCTGAGATTTACCAAATTCTAGAAGTTCAAGAAGTTCATAGGTTTTCCATTAGGTGGAGGTGGTCAGTGCCAGTTGATGCATTTGTTGTTGTTGATTTAGAAGGTATTTTCCTTCCTCAGCTGAGCACAGAGTGCGAAAGGTTCATGGGGGTGATGGGAAATCCATCACAGAATCACAGAACTGTCTCTTATTTATCAGAATGACCTGACAGGGGAGCATTCCTGCATCATGCTGAAGATGCTCAATGAAGAGGACTCTGAGCAGGAACCTTGGCTCACTGCCTTCTGGAAAGGTAACTCTGCTCCTGCTGACTCTGCAAGAACCCTCTGGGCTGTTTATTATTCTAGAGGTCCACTGAGGTAATTTATTTTGTCCTCTTGCCCTATAGATTTTAGGAGACGCTTCCTTTCCCTGCTTTCCTACCAGTTCAGCACCTTCTCTCCCTCCTTGGCACTGAATATTCTACAGAACAAAAATATCAAACAGCAGCCCCAAGCACGTGAGTACCCTGACTGGGACAGCATGACAGCATGGCTGGAGCCTGGCACCTCAATTTGCTGTTTTCTCAAGATGTTCAGCAGAGGAGAATCCTCTGGGGAGAGCTTGGTACCTGTATCTTGTGGGGTTTTAGTGTCTGTGCTGGCTATAGGGCTTTTGTGCTGCAACAAGGGAACACACCTCTTTCACAGCAAAACCAATGTGAATTGTTAAAGGCAAAGGAAAAATACTAAATACCTGAACAAAGGCTAAGCACTGAGGTCCTGGGTGCTCTGAAGAACGTTGCCAACCTTGCTGTGTTTCTCTGGTCCCCAGCCATCAGCCGTGCTGAGCTGGAGTCAGCGTTCATCCCGTACGACCTGAAGAGGCTGGAGATGTACTCCCGCAACATGGTGGACTACCACCTCATCATGGACATGGTTCCCACCATTGCCAGGATGTTCTTCCTCAGCCAGATGGGAGACATCTCCCTCTCTGCTGCACAGTCGGTGTGTGTGGATTTGGGGGGAGCCCAGGGAGTGAGGTGGGGGATGTGTGTCTGTCTTTGCTCTGTGGCTGAAATACCTGTCTCTCCCTCAGGCCCTTTTCCTAGGGATTGGCCTGCAGCATAAATCTCTGGACCAGCTGGAAAAGGAGTTGGAATTGCCCAGCAGTCAATTGATGGGGCTCTTCAACAGGATCATCCGCAAAGTAGTGCAGGTGGGAGCAGCAGGACAAGCCTTGGTCATGTGGGACCATAATTCCAAAATTAACATAAAATACAACACTAAGAGAGGGCTGGATCAGAGCTGGGCATCCTTAACACATCCCCACTTACTGACCAGAAATTTCTTGGCAAGGTGGGGAAAATCCTAGCTAGAAAATGTGTGGCAATGATTTAAATGCCCATGGCAGGGGGTTTGGAACTGGATGATCTTTAAGGTCCCTTCCAACCCAAACCACTTAATGATTCTGTGTAGTGATTTCCCAGATAAGAGTGCTTATCTTATGGTTTTCCATGTTGAAGTGCCCTGATCAGAATGCTGAGCAGACAGTCCTTGTTGCCTGAGCCATTGTTCAGAGCGTTGGTGGCATGTCAGCTTTCCTTGGAAAAAAAAAAAAAAAACATTTTTCCAGTGTTATCTAGAGGTAGACTTGAAATCCAGTAAAATAATTAGAAAGATTTTGAAGTGGTTCCTGGTTTTCTTTCTCTCTAAGGTTTAGGATAGCAAAGCTCCTGAAGTCTGGATTTAGGAGTTCATTGTAGAGGTGATAAATGGTGTTTTAAAAACCAAGTCTTACATGTGCTGGGTTGTTTCATTTTCAGCTGTTCAATGCAGTCCAGGAAAAAGCTGTGGAGGAGCAGATGGCAGCAACAAAGGATGTTGTGATGGAGCCAACGCTGAAATCTTTAAATGACGATTTGGTAATTACAAATGTTATTCCTGGTTCATATATAAACACTTCAGGGAGTTCACCTGAGGGCAGAAACATTAAATTTTCTTGAATGGAAAGGGTTCCACACCACGTCTGGCACTGTAAGGGAGTTAAAACCTGACAGGTTTGCTTTTTGTGCAGCTGGAATTGTGCTTTAAGCTGCAGTATGGGGTTTTCACAGAAAATTACAAGTTTGTGTGTACAAATAAGGTAAAAATGCAATTAGATACAAGAGAGAAGCTATTCAGGAGCAGATGATATTTGTTTTAGGGGATGTATTTGTGGGAAAAGGCATTTTCCTCTCATTACAAAGTCATTGTTGCCCTCAGGACCTAATGCATCTTGTGCTGTCCTGTTGCAGGAGGAGGCTGCAAAGGAATTCCAAGAAAAGCACAAACAGGAGGTGATGAAGCTGAAGGAGATGGACCTTACACAGTAAGAATTCATCTGCCTGGGTCTCAAATCCAGTTTTTCCCTGGGTGGTATGCTGGGTCTTGCTGGGATTTGTGTGCACAAGGCTGCAGGTGCAGTAAGCCATCAGTAAATGAGAACCAGTGTGCATTGTCAGCAGGGGGTAGAACACAAAAAACCCCAAATCAGCACAAAAAGGGCAAGGTACCAGAGCTTTTACTTACGTGTCAGCAGATTTCTGTCTTTCTGGCCCAACAGGAGTTGCAGATGGCACTGATTCTCTCTCTTCCCTCTCCCCTCCCACTTTCTGTCTTACAAACACTGTTCACTGTGCTGATGTCCCAGGAAAGTTGTCGGGCTTGGCTCTAAATTGGTCTCTGTTACATCTGGCAAAAGGAATAAAAGTTTCTTTGAATCTTTGGCTGTCATGTTTGAAGAAAGGACAAGAATAGATGTGATTTGAAGTGACTTGCAAGTCAGTCACATGAGGAAAATAATACAACCAGAATGTTTTAAAATTAATTCCATTTTGTGGCACTGATAGTGCTACATACCTTTTTATCATTTTGGACTGTGTTTCCTTTTTTTTTTTGTTCTTCAGCCAGAAATAGATTTTTGTTCTCCATGAGGAGAGACAAAAATCTATTTTGAATACTTTTCAATGCAGGTTGTAGAAAACTTGTGAGGCTTTGTCCAACATTGTTCAGCTTTGTGAACAAAGCCTTATCTATTCCAGACCTCCAGGAAGTTGAGATGGAGAGCAGTCATTCCATTTTGCTACACAATTGCTTTGCCTCTTTAAATCTGGGTGTCATTTCCAGGGTGCTTGAACACCCAGACAAGGGCCCCAGGCCATGAGCTTATTTCAGTAGCTATTTTTGTCTTTATTTCTCTTCTCAAAAGCAAGCTGCAGCTCTCCCCTTTTTCCCAGGCTGATCTAGGAAAGCTGTCCCATGGCAGCTTTGCCACCTGACCTGGTGTGTGTTTCCCAAATGGAATTGGTTGGGTGCTGGCACAGTGGCTTTGTTTGCAGAGCAGTGTGTGCCTGACAGTAGAAGCACCTTATTTCTATGGTTTTTCCATCTGTGCTAACAATTTGACTTGAATTTTCCTTCACCTTTCCCACTTAGGTACATTATCCGGGGGGATGATGAGGAGTGGAACGAGGTGCTGAGCAAGGCAGGACAGAACGCTTCCGTCGTCAGCTTGAAAAGGTAAAGGAAGTTGAAATATTCCAGAGATCTCTCCTCTTCCTGCTGGCTTTGTTGAAATGTTTTCCAAAAGAGTGAAGTCTAAGGGTTAAATGCAGGTTAAGTGACCTCAGTGTCCTGGCTAGATCCTCAGTTTTCCTGGCGGAATTGGGATGTGAGCAGCTGCAAGCTCCACTTCCTGGTGTTTCTGTGTTGCGCTAAGGATAGTCCTCTCTTCATTAACTTGTTTAATTCTGACTTTATTGCTGATGATCTGATCCTGATCCACACAGAAGCTGGGACTATTCCTCCCTTGGGTCACTCATTCCACCTGACTGCCCCATTTGCTTTGGGATCTAACACTCACTGGGAGCCCCTGGAGGTGCCAGTGGAGAAAACGCAAATTCAGGAAAGAATTCTTCTAAAAGTGAGCTTGAGCCTGGAAAATGTCTGTGTTTCTGTAATTCCTTAGTTCTCATCCATCTTCTTTCTTCCTGCCCAGCATGTAATTTTCCCATATTTTTCCTTGGGGATTTATAGCTGAGACTTCCTTGCTCACTTATTTCCCCTTCTTGGAGTGCCTGACAGCTCAAGTAATTTTGTGATCTCTGTTCCACCCTTTCATGGTTTTTTCCATGAATGATGGAAGCTGTAAGTTTCCAAAAGCCTTCCAGGAAGGAGAGAGTGTTAGCAGTTGCTTATAAAGATCAGAGCTTGGAATTCTTGTTGTGTTTGCTTGAGTCAGAATCCAGTGACAAATTTGAATGGACAAACTTGAATGTTTAAAATGATCCGTTGTAGTTTCTCTTCTAGGTACTCTGAAATCCATGTGCCCCATTTAGGACAGATAGTTTTGAAAAGCAGTGACAAGAGCTAAAAATCAAGAGCTTCTGGGTTAGAGAATCTCAGGACACTATAAAATATAAGGCTCTTGTTTGTGCTTTTTCTAGCACCACATTTAAATTTTCTCCCTCACTCCTATATTACAACAAAAATTTCCCTGCTGGATGGCAAGCCAGTATATTTTTAACAAATGTTTTTGTCCTGTTTTCCAGTGAGAAGAAAAGAAAACTAGAAACAGCACGTGGACCCAAGCAACAGAAGAAATTTAAGAAGACTAAAGATCTAAAACAGAAGAGGAAGAAATGACTTAAAAGCCAATCAATGAACTTGAATGAACAAGTGCTGGGTCTGTACTTAAGAAGCCCTGTTCTCCTCTAAAGTAAGGGAAGAAAAATCCTTAGAGGCATTTTTCAAGTGTTTGTATTGTGGGAGGAGCAGTGTTCCAGTGTTGGTGTCAAGATTTTTATATGAAGGGTGACTGCAGAGTGTGAGTGAGGCACTGGAATGCACTGGGATGTGATGAAGGTGCTTGAGCAGCTCCAACATTCCCATTCCAAGAGGGCAGGTCTGTAAACTTCCTGCATCTTAATGGTTCTGTGGCTTATTAAACAAGAATTGGGACAACAAAGGACAGAAGTATGACTCACCTTGATCTCTGCAGCTGCTGGTTCTGGTGGTCCTTTGGAGCTTGAGGCTTTTATGTACTTGGTATTAGTGGCTGGCTGTCACTGCACACTCACTGTGCCTCCCTGCTGGCCTAGAGCTGCCCCTTGGCCTTGGTGCCAAGTTTTGTGTTCAGGTTGCCAGAAATCAGCACTGTTGTACCAAAACCTGGTTATGTGACCCCCTCTTTGACCTCAGGGGTCGGCTGAGCAGCCAAGCACTGAATTCCCAGCAGCTTGGCAAAAACTGCCAGTCTGGAGCTGGGACTGGCTGTGACTGGGTCTCAGACTCCAGAGGCTTCAAACCTTCGGCACAGAGAGTCCCAGTCCCAATCCTGAGAGCCCTGGAGCATTGCCTTGATATCCTTTTGGCTTTTTGCTGTGGGGGTTTGGAACAGAGCCCTCCCTGCAGCTGGGGCACAGCTGTGTTGTATTTACCTGCAGATCTCACAGCTCCTTTTCCTGGCAAATCCCGAGGTAAAGACAGCTTTTCTTCTCCAGGAGGCTGATTTTAATTGAACACAGGCTCTGCACAACACAGCCTGTGCCTGCCTGTGGTTTGGAAGCCTCTGTGGTGTGCCACCACCATTGGTGGCAGTGACACATCCCTGAGCAGGGACATCTGCAGCCCTCAAAGAGGGGCTGGGATCACCCAGCAGCACTGCCAGGGCTGTGGTGGCCACTGGCTGCCCTGAACTGGCTCCAAAGGTCTTGGAAAAGGAGCAGACATGGAAGGGAAGCAGTGTGAGGCTCTGGAGAGCTGTGCTCAGGAAGCGCACAGGAGAAGAGGTGAGTGTGAATTCTCCCTGGTTTTGATGTTATTGTTAAAAATATGGTGTGCACCCTGAGGTGGTCTGTCCTCTTGTTTGTTCCTTGGAGCTTGTTGGAGTGATGGCCTGGATTTGGGAGGAGCCAAGTATCCTGGAGCTATGAGGCTTTTCCTGTCAGAAATCCATGGTGGGGATGTTTTCCCTGGCTCTCCCAAGTGGAAGGAACAGATTTGGAGTTGTTGCAGCCACAGGCTGGGGATGCATCCTCTGAAAACCAGTTCAGGATTGTTCATCTGACTCTGCCTCTGACCTGTGACTTCCAGGGACCCTCCTGTAGTTCTGGATATTCCAGTCCTGCTTTTTAAAGAAGGAATTTCCAAACACAGTAAGTCATTCAATCTGAGCTGACCCAGTGGTGGGTTGTGAGGGGTAGGGGGTATTCCCAGCTGGAATTGGGGCCATGCATTTCAGACACCTTGAAGTGGGCACTAAAGGGCTGGTCCCAGTGCTCCAAGCCCTGTCATGGAGGTGAGCAGGGCAGGGAATGATTGTGAATTCCTGGCCTTCCTTTTCTGACAGCAGTTGGTTATTTTGGGACCCAAGCTTAAAAAACCTGGAGTGTGTGATTGTTCCCAAGTGTCACACATCCAGACTAGGATCTGATGGGGTGGTTTTAGTAGAACCATGGAAGGGATATTAAGGTTTATCCCATTCCAACCCCCAGCCAGGGGCAGGGACACCTTCCAGGTTGCTCTAAGCCCTGTCCAACCTGGCCTGGGGCACTTCCAGGGATGGGGCAGCCACAGCTGGGTAACAGGTACCAGCTGGTATGTCTGACTTAATTTCCCTTCCCAGCTGGCAGCAATGAGTGGGAACACTGCACCAAAACCTGTTGGAATTCCAGCTTCCAGCTCTGCATGGAGCACTGCATCCAGATGTGAACACTCAGCAGAACAATTTTGCCATGGACCAAGGGAACCCTCAGGACTTGTCTTGCTCATTTCTCCCTGGAAAGAGACATGGCATGAGCACCTTTGCAGCTATTGGAGAAATCCTGGAAAGGGCAGGAAATCAGGGTGATTAGAAGAGTTCTGTGCTGTCACACAGCTGTTCACCTGTGTTGCTCCATGGTCCAGTGCCAGCCATGGAGCTCTGCCCTATAGATGTTCCAAGGGCTGGTGTTTAAAGCAGCATTAGCATAAAAGGAGCTGCACTGGTATAGGAATTACCTTGTTGGTACTTCCATCCCAGCCTGGAATTCTGGAGGACACAGAGATCAGCTCAGTTGTTTTGAGCAGAGTGCTGAGAACACCAAAGGCTGTGGGTTCAGTCACTGGGTGGGCCATTTACTTAGAGCTCGCCTCCATCCCTTCTATCTCACGATATCCTGTGATCTGGAAACACAGAATAAACGTTTCAACTAGAATTTCACAAATGGAGATTTTGCCATTGGAGACTCTGAGTTGCACAGATCTCGGGGGAAGAGGAAGGAAAGCACCAGGTCTCACCAGGCAGGTGCTGAATGCGCAGCTGGAGCAGGACAGCGCCTATCCTGGAGCAGATCATCCTCCTGCCCGCGGCTCTGCAGCTCCGCTCATTTCCCAGGGATGCGGCGGGCACAGGACGGGAGGCGGGCCCTGCTCTGCTCAGGGGTGCCGGGGCAGAGCGAGCTCCCCATCCCCGCGGGGTTGCCAGGCCGGTCCGACCCAGCGGGACCAGCGGCCTCGGGGGGCCCCGCGCCCCGCCCGCT